ATAAGTAACTCTTAATTTATAAAGAAATAAATTAACTCTTATTTAATTTTATTAAATCAAATCTCACACTACAAGGAGATGCATCTATACCAACGAAATTTTTCTGTCTATATACACCCCTTTTCCGTTGGTATAGACCCCCAGGTACTATTCCGACGGAAGAGTTTTCAGTCGGTAGAAACCTCGTCAGTATAGGGTCTATACCAACGCCTAATCCATCTGTATAAACCCTCGGATTTATTTCAATGGAAGATTTGTCTGTTGGTATAAACCTTGAGAAATCTTAAGAATTTTTCTGTCTGTATAAACCCTTACCTTTACAGACGGATAATTCCATCAGTATAGATCCTTTTTTTTTTTTTTTTATAATTGATGATTCAATTTTATTTTATTTATAATTTTCTCCCGTGCTTATTTTTTTCTATATTGATAAATACCATTTGTCAATTTTTTTTTCTTTTTTAGAATGAAGGGAAATTCTCAAGCTTCTATAATCAACTTGAATTCTTCATATATTGAAATATTTGAAAAAATGTTCATTTAAAGCATGTAAAATATTAGGAAAAAAAGAATAAAAACGTGTAACATAATTTGCTGTAAAATATTTTCTCGGCTTCGTTTTTCCCTACCATATGGAAACCAGGCTGAAGAACTATATACAGTGATGTTTGAGTAAAGTGCATATATATGCATTTGACTGAATAAGTTTCTACTTCCGACCAGCTTCCTCAAGTTCTCGGAGCCCTCCTTCCTTCTGCTCAATCTCCTCAATCAGCTCAACTCCTCACGCCACAGTTCTGCCCTTGCATTCTCCCAATGTCTTCTTGCTGCAAGTGAACAGGATGTAGAAAGTATCTACAGAACAGAACAAAAAAAGACAACCTCAGTTTAGTCATCTATTGAACCAAACACATAGTGGACATAAAATAAAACTAGTATTTAACCAAACACACAGCAGATATAAAATAAAACTATTTGAAGTGACCTTCTAACATTGTTTATGGCTATATCACTGAGATGCTAGATAGATTTGTTGGTTATAATTTCTCTTTGTGCATCCAGTTGTTGAATTTGATGAAGGCCAAAGCCCCTATTTGCACCCTCCATTTATTTTTTTTCAGTGGTCAACACCTTTCAGAATTTTTTCTCCCTATTCACACCTTTCACTTTTCAAAACCCGTAAAAAACCCAACATTTTAACGCGCCGTCATGGTACCGTTACAAAATGTATTACGTGGCACTCAAAAATTGACGTGGCCATTATGTGCCGTTAGTAATCCAATGTGGATGCTTTTTTTGATGATGTGGTTTACTTAAATAAAAAAATAAAAAAATTTGCTCTGGGTTCAGTGAGGAACCCGAGCTGGGTTCCTCACGACGAGGAACCCCCCTAAATTTTTTTTTTTGTGGGGACGTAGGGACGGACAAGCGGGAAAAGTCCTGTGCAGTGAGCCCCACTGCACATGTGGTGTCCACGTGTGCAAAAAAAAAAGCCACATCAAAAAGCAAATCCACATCTGAACATAACGAATAAGGAAACGCCGCATGTGCCACATCAATTTCTGGGTGCCACGTCGTGTGGTTTTAACGGTGCCGTAATGGTCCGTTAAAATATTGAGTTTTTCACGGGTTTTGAAAAATGGAAGGTGTGAATAGGGAGAAAAAATTCTGAAAGGTGTTGACCACGAAAAAAAAATAAATGGAGGGTGCAAATAGGGGCTTTGGCCTTTGATGAATAAAAACAGCCATCAAAGGCCAATCAAGAAGAGCATTACTCTAATCAAAGATACCTTTGCTCCTACTGCTATCATCATTCTATTAG